GAGGAAAAACTATGGGGTAAAAAAGGAAGCGCGAAATGTGCGTGACGATTTCGGCTTCGCAGATAGAGATCGGCCTGTGAGGACCGATGCGCTTTTCTTACTTGCCCCTATTCTTGCCTTTGACTCTGTTTTGGCTTTGTTTGTGCTGGGAATTGTATTGCATCTGCCGAGGGAAAGGCAAATTTGTTTCCCTTCTTTCTTGCCGTTTATCCCGTTTTTGCCTTCTCCGCCACCCCGCGGGGGTGGGGGGCTGTGTGGCTGTAGCGTTACAAGGGCGGTGCAGCTTTTCCAGGTTTCATGCGCGGAAAATTGTTTGATTCTTGAGGCTCCTTTTTGTTCCTTCACCCTTCTTTGCCTTGTTTTGATTGTTTTCGAGTGTGTTTATATATGTATAGTACGTGTACAGTTACTCTTTGTTTGAAGACTTTCTTCTGCCGTGGAAAAATAATGTTGAAGGTGGTTTTATGTATACTGTGAATAATAATACCGATAAGAGGGGATACAGAGGGAGGATGAGGGAGGAGGAGGAGGGGTAAAATGTCGCCACGCCCAAGCGCCTTTGTGGCACTTGTTTTTTTTTTTTGGTGTGGCTGGAGGTGGGAATAAAATGCCATCTTGATCGTCCTCATCTTTTCATGACGAAGAGAGCGGGGAGGTTGTGGGAGTAGGAGATTGCCGCCTTGTTGTGTGTGTGCGCGCGCAAATAGAAGGCGCCACACGGAGAAGGGGAGGAGCTGGTGTGTGCGGTATCGAGTCTTTTCGAAGCCCAGTGCGTTTTAAGCAAAGAACAACTAAACGAGGGGTATTGTGCTGCTGGTGGTGGTGGTGGTGGCAGTCACCGCCGTGGCTGCGACGATTCATGCTTTTGCCTTGCCCATCCCTCTTCTTTCCCCCCCCCTCTCGCTCCTTTTTATTTATTTATTTTTTTTCCCCCATTTTCTTTCTGTTGTTTGTTGCTTCTTGACGACACATTACGTTGCATTGGACCACGGATGTCGACAGGTCACCATGCAGGACCAGATCCAGAAGCTGCTACTTATGGGCCCCGGTGGGGCAGGGAAAACGTGCATGCGAAGTATTATATTCGACAATTATTTGCCGCGTGACGCGCTTCGGCTGGGCATCTCCATCTCGCTAGACCAGAGCCAAGTGCGCATGTTTAACAACCTCTACCTCAACCTCTGGGACTGCGGTGGGCAGCACCGTTACGTGGCGGAGTACTTGAACCGCCAGAAGGAGTACATCTTCCGCAGCGTCAGTGTGATGCTCTTCGTATTTGACATCAATAGCATGAGCCGCGAGAACGAGGACACATATGGGGGGATGTCAACCGATTGGAGTCGGCCGGAGATGCTGGAGTACTTTCAGTCTGCCATGCACTACATTCGACAATACAGTCCACATGCGAAGATCTTTGTGTTGCTGCACAAGATGGACCTCATCGCCAAGGAATTTCGCGAGACAATTTTTGACTCGAGGAAGGCAGAAATCCTCTCGCGACTCGAGGCGGACGATGCCGCATGCAACATCCAGTTCTTCGCCACGAGCATCTGGTCAGACTCGCTGTATTTGGCATACAGCAGTGTTGTGCGCTCCCTCATACCCCACAGAGACGTCCTCATGCGAGAAATGAAGAAGCTGCTCCACAGCTGCAATGCGATGGAGGTGGCTCTGTACGAGCGCAGCACGTTTCTTTGCCTGACGCATGTTAGCCGCAAGGATGCCGATGATAAATTCGAAGGCAATGCCGCCAGCACCAACACCAGCAACTGTGCCAACAACGACACCTGCTACCCCGAGACGAACGGCGGTGCGCTTGGCACGCCCAAATGCGAGTTTCGAACGACAGAAGTAAGTGAGACGGTGAAACATTTCAAGTTAAGTTGCATGAACAATGCGACGAGTTTGGATGGCTTCCAGATTACCACGGGGGACTTCACCGCGTTGCTTCACCCCTTTACAAACTGTACCTATGTGCTACTTGTGTCGACAGACCCTAGCGTCAGTGTGGAGCTTCACAAGCGCAACTTGTACAGTGCACAGCATGCATTTGAGCTTTTTCTTCGCTCCGGGGACCCTATTGCGGAAGAAATGCGGCAAATACTGTGATCCCCTGTCGTTACTCTTTTGTCGTTTTTTTTTTCGCGCGTGTGCGCGTGTGTTGTTGGCGATTTCTCCATACTTATTTCTCCGCCACTGTTTTGTTTCGCCTTTGCCGCTGCTTCTTACCTGCTTTTTTTTTGCGTCCCAATATCATGTGTGCCACCTCCTGGGCTGAAGGGCGCCTCTCCATTGCTTTGGCTTCTGGGAGGAGAGGAAGGCGACAGAGAGAAGGACAAGGGTGCAGCGATGGAGCAGGCCTCAGTGGTCAGCGGCCACGCCGTCCGGTCGCCCTCGATGGTGTCTGTGGGTGGCAATGGCAGGTGGCTGGCGTATGGCTGCGCCAGCGACATGGTGGTTGTGTGTAGTCTGCTGGACGACAGTAGGGAACGACACTCATCGCGTGCAGAGGACTTTGCTGGTGCGATGCGGATCGTCTCACTGGAGTCCGGGGAGGTCTTGTCCGTGGTTGCGTTGCACCAAAGCAAAGATCTGCTCTGCATTGGAACTGCGCATCATGGCTTGTACTTAACCACGGCGTCGAACCCCATTCTTAGTAACACAACCACGCGACTACCAACGCGCCTCACAGGAGAAAACGTTTTTGTAGCTTGCTTTATCGACGGTCACGAAAAGGGGTCCGACGTGGTTGTGACTTCTTGCGGCTCTCAGGAGTTGGCGAAGGAACGTTTTAGGCTCTCGCTGTGGGACGTGCAAGCACGGTTGCTGCTGTGGCGCGGGTGTGCGGACGCTCTGGATACCGTTGTGCCGTTACCAGGCACCTTTGGCTTTGCCTCCTGCACACAGCGGGAGATTACGCTGTGGACGGTACAACCACCCGGCGAGGGTGCGGCGGGTGCGACGAATGGGCACCGCGGTAAAAGTGGCGGCAGGGAAAACACAAAGGGTGAGGAAGGCGGGGGCAGGGGCTTCACGGTTTTGAGCAAGTCATGCAGCGCCGTGAATGAGTTGCGGGACGTGGAGTTTGTTGCTGTGGTCCCGCCCAGAGGGGCCGAGGACCTTTTGACGGTGCTAACGGCCGTGGGATTTTTGGTGTCGTTTGACTGCCGCAGCGGGGCACCCGTAAAGTGGATGGACTGCAAAGTATGTCCCGCTACCGCCGCGTATCGTATGGCGGACGACATCATAGTCTGTGGGCCGATGGTCCGCTTTTTTTCCCTTGACAAGTGGGAGTTCCGCGGCAAGCTCAAGCAACATGCGTCCCCCGCCGCTGTAAGCTCGTCGTTTCCCGCGCGACTGGTGGACTCACTCTGCACCGGGGCTGCCGTGTGTGGGGAGGATCGAGTCGTTTTCTTTTTCAGTGGAGGAGGCGTGTCGCGATACCGTGTCGTCAGGCCCACGAGCGGGGCATCCAAGCTGGCGTTTCATCACGTCTATCAGTACACTCCGGTCTTGCCAGAGGAGGCCCCGCTACGCTGGATTCCATTAGCCACAGATGCGCTTTGTTTGTGGTCCCCGCGGCGCTTGCGCCTGTACGACACGAGATTTTGGAAGAACACAAGCATGGCGCTTGAAAGTAATTGCGTCGTCTACAATCCCAGCTTGGGTGTGTTACTGGCCTACGACTCTGCGGCCTATGAAATTGTTGCGATTGCGCCCGACCTGGAGCGTGAACTTTGCCGCCTCGGCGTCGCTGAGCCGCTAACGAGCCTGGTCGTTCATGAGGAGACCCAGTTGGCGTGTCTTTCCTTGGACGGCAGTTTATTCTACTTCAGTGGGCAGTGGCGTGGCAGAGGTGAGTTTGCCCTGCAAGGGCTGCGCTCAACGCGCTTGACCGGGTTGAAGGCGCCGCCGACACAGTTGGTGTCCGTGAAAGGCGCTTTGTATGCTGCGTCAACGCACCTCGTCGTCAACCTCCAGACTGGGGAAAATGCCAGCTTCGCGGACGACATCATCTCTTTCGTCGTCGCAGGCAACACACTGTTGCTGGCCCATCGTCATCGCTGTGTGGTGTTGGACCCCAGTACAATGCAGTGTATCGGCGAACCTCTGCAGGCACCCGGGCTGGAGGAGGCGGTTCCCTCTCCAGCAGGTGATGTTTTCGCTCTGCGCAGCGGGGGGAAGCTCTCTATTGTGTCTCTCAAGGACCTACGGCCGGTGGCGCACCTCTCGCTCCAGCGGGAGGCGAGTAACCTTGGGTCTGCCACTATCATTTCTCTCGGCTTTACCGCCGACGGGAGCTCCTTGGTGTTGTGTGACTCGAGGGGTCTCTTTTTTGTGCACCGACTTGGAAGCCTCGTGACGGGGGCCGCAAGTGACGTCAAAGGGGTGCCGCGACAGCAGCTTGAGCGTGGAGGCAATAGGCGTTCGCATTCATGCGATGGGCCGACAAACAACGAGCTGCAGTCCCGCTTTCGGGACCTTCACGGTTTCTACGAAACCACCCGACGCACGCACAAGGAGCGTGAAGGAGGTCAAAAGCGAGCGAGCTCCGTGACCTCTGCAGCTCCGCGACGAAGCACAGCAACAACGACAAGCTCCAGTGGGGTTTTGATTCTGGCGCGCGGGGACAGCATACTTCAGCTGCCATCGGCGTCGACCAGCCAACAGCTCCCCTTGCTGCGGAAGTGGGAGTCGGACCGCGCACCAACGGAGTTGCCGCAGGTGGTGAGCGCCACGGAAGGTCCCGACGTGGGCGTCTCCACGTCTGTGGTGGAGGTCTCAGCCCTTACTTCTCTGGATTCTGTAATGAATTTTAACTTGCACACCGTTGCGGAGAGCGAGGCGGCCCTGACCCCGTCAATTGCTGCCGATCTCCTCGTAAGGGAGCGGGAGAAGGTGACATTTACCGATGCCCCGACGTACGTGGTGCGAAGTCCGGCACGAAAGGGGCAGCCATCGTTAAGCCCAAGCGTAACACCTGAGGATGACGTTGTGAACGTTGACTCCATTGAGAATGAGGAACTGCGGAAGGAGTTACACCACGACCCCTTGAATTTGGGTGTTGCCCCATCAAAGGCGGCGCTCTCTGTGGCGTCCAACTCATCGAGTTCGGTGAGAGCTCGTTCCTGCGAGCTGCGCGACGCGCTGAGGGATCTCGCTGAGGCGTACGAGCAGCAAGGCCAAGAGGAATCTGCAGACGTCGCAAACACCATTGATTCAGAGACGGTGGGGGAGATGTTTTACACGGTGAGTCGCCTGTACGCGCGGATGCAATCCCGCCAGCCGCGGCGACCAGACAGCGCGGGCAGCGTCGCCTGCAGTGACGTCTCCACCGCGTCTGTCAACGTTATTTTGGCCGATTTGCAGCGCTTGCAGCTCCAGAGCAGCCGCATCGAGGCGCAAAACGAAGTGATTCTCATGAGACTTGGGCTAAAGTGACTCGGCCAGCAAAATCCCACGCAAACCAGCACCGTCGACCGGGAAAAGAAAAGGTAGGGGAGCAGGCGATAAAATGGGAGGCCTGTAATGGGTGGGTCGGTGTAACACAAACCATTTTTATTTAACGGGAATGCATTTTGCTTTCTCAGGCGACCGCGCCCATCGCAAGCAACAAAACCAAAAACGTCAATAACAAGATAGTTTTTCTTATATATATTTTCCCCCACTCTCTTTCTGTCTTCATCCCCTTCTCACTCGCTGTTTTGCGGTGGTGGCCTGCTTCTTTGGGGGTGGGGGCCCGTTATGGAGGGCCTCTAAGCCCCATTATTATTATTATTATTATCAGCTTGGTGATGCCTTTTTTCCTTTCGCTCTTCTTGAAGAGACGAGGGAGTGTAGTTGCTTCACTCATTGTGCTTGAAGATGTTCAAGCTGTTTCTGTCGAAGCTTCCAAAGAGTGTCCCCGCGAAGGAGACGGGGGAGTTTCTTGCAACGCTTTTTCCTGAAGCCGTGCATATTCAACTGCTGCAGGGATCACAAAGCGGGACACACAAGGGACACGCCTACGTCCACTTCGATAATGAGGCGGCGGTAACCGATGCACTTCGACGAGTGGGCGAGGGGCCACCGCCGACGCTCCATGAAGTGCCGATTCACGTGAGACGTGCCAGTCGTGTTGAGGCCGGGGAGCATGACAGTTTGTCCCCTCAGGCGTTGCCGCCGCAGCTCGCACACTACGCACACTCCATGTGCGCAACGGTTTCTTCCTCAGCGGTGGACGCCCTTGATGGGGTCGTGGCCCGCTGCGAGCTCGGCGACGGTGTCACGGCTGTAGCTTTCGGAACAGAAGCCCAATTGACTGCTGCGCTGGAGTCGTGTCGGGAAAACGCGTCAAGGTGTTTGCCTCCTCTCTTGCCAGAGCTGTTATCATCACAGGTCACGAGAAAGCGCCGGCGCGGTGACGAGGACGGTGACGGCGGGAGTCATCGTAGGGAGGGACGTAACGACTCCCACGACACCGGGGCCGGCGTGGGCGAAAGGCCACTGACATTGGAGACTGCCGCGGATGTTGTGGCCTTGTATGAGCGGCGTGGGCTGGAGCCACTCACCCCAGCGGCGGCCCTGGCCCTGCTGCAGGATTTCATGGGAGGACGCGGTCGTATCGCGCTGAAGGACCAAAAGGGTAACATTGCGGTGATGATGCTGCCAGCCCACGCAACGGCTCTGGAGTGAAGTTTTCTGGATGTGAGCGGCTTCCCCACATACCTCAACTTGCCGCACCAAGTCATGACTCGCCTCCCTCTCCTTTCCGTGCGTTTTTTAAACGACGGCTATCGGACGCGTGACATATGCGTGCGGTGATTCTTTTGCTCGTGTTAATTTCTATTTGTTCTTTTTTCTTTTTTGGTGCTTATTCTTCGGCTTCTTTCTCTTGCACAATGGACTTCTCCCGTAGCGCCCCTCCTGTTTTCCCCTCCGCAAGTGTTGGAGGCACAGGGAGCCGCAAAAGCGAGGAACGCCCACCAAAGCAAACAAGAACTTTTTTCGTGCTTCACGCGTACATCATCTCTTTGACGCCGGTAGGGTGGCGTCTGAGAGGGCTCAAAAAGGAAAAAGGAAAAAATAAATAAATAAATAAAAAACAAGAAAAAGAAGCTAGGAAGAAGGGAATAAATAGCGCTTGTGAGTTTGGGCACAACGGCCTTGGGAAGACTATCGCCCACACGCAGGCAGGCGCGTCTACACATATATAATTACTTCCAAACGGCTGGCCTCCTTTGTTGCTGTTTTTTTTTTTTGCCGTCAAGGTAGCAAACTATGTTGTGTGAGAAAGTGAAGAGCTGTGCGTGGTGCTGCGGCTGCAAACGCGAGGAGGAGGAAGAAGATCAAGAGGCAGGCGTCGTTGTGCATATGAACAATCGCGAAGCGAATGCCCCCTACGGTTACCCCGACAACTTTGTCAAGACGACAGAATACACACCCTGGACATTCATTCCACTTGGGTTACTCCTGCAGTTTAGAAGAATCAGCAATTTTTATTTTTTGATTTGCATGATTCTAGCCCTCATCCCTGGTGTTTCTCCCGTAAACCCTGCAACCGCCGTCACCCCACTTGTCTTTGTTGTTGGGGTGGCGATGATCAAGGAGGGAGTGGAGGAGGTCAAGCGCCACAGAGCAGACAATAAGGCCAACTCTGTTGAGGTGGAGGTTCTTGTGAATGGAGAGGTGGTAAAAGTTCCGAGCAGACACCTGCGTGCAGGGGATGTCGTGCGGGTGCACAATGGAGATGAATTACGTGCTGATTTATTATTCTTGTCCTCCCACTCAGAGGAAGGGCAGGTGTTCATTGATACGTGCAACTTAGATGGTGAGACAAGCCTAAAGGGTCGTAAGTCGATCGAGGTGACACGATCACTTTGCTCCCCCGAAACCCTGAATGCGGCGCAACTCACACTCCACACTGTGCCCCCTGATCCCGGGCTTTTGTCGTGGACTGGCCGGATTGACCTCAACGGGGAGGACTACGCTGTCGATCTGAACCAATTTTTGTACCGCGGCTCCGTCCTTCGCAAGGCGGATTGGCTCTGGGGATTTGTTGTCTACGCCGGCGTAGACACGAAGATGTTCCGCAATTTAAGGAAAAGGACATCAAAGTCCTCCGATTTGGACTCGAAACTGAATATTCTTATCGCCATCGTATTCGTACTGCAAAACGTCTTTCTTATCTTGCTTTGCTCGCTTTCGGTGTGGTGGAACAAGGGACACGGCAAACACTGGTATATTCGGTGGTACCTGGAGGAGCACGGGGCTGCCGCCCAGTGGTTTCTCAACTACCTCACCTACTTTGTATTGCTGAGCTACTTTATACCCATTTCCCTGTTCGTTACCATCGAGCTATGTAAGGTTATTCAGGCCTACTGGATGCGGCGCGACTCCCATATGATGGAGATCGTCAACGGAAGATGGCGCCGATGTAAGCCTAACACATCTAACCTGAACGAACAACTTGCAATGGTGCGTTATATTTTTACCGATAAAACAGGTACGCTGACAGAGAACGTGATGAAGTTCAAGATGGGTGATATTATGGGTAATACGATTCATGCGGACGACGTTGAAGGTCTAGTCAAGTTGCTGAAACGAGAAAGTTCAACATGTGCTGCTGCGGAGGAGTATTTTCTTGCGTTGGCCCTTTGTCACACGATTCAGCCGTTTCCAGACACACACCACCCTCTTGGGGTGGTGTATGAGGGGAGTTCGCCTGACGAAGTGGCACTTGTCACTGCTGCCGCAGAGCACGGTTTTCGCCTGCGGGAACGCACCGCCCGCTCCATGACGGTGGAGGTAGAGTCAAAGACCAAGGTGTATGACATCCTTGCCACACTGGAGTTCACACCTGAAAGAAAAATGATGAGTATTATTCTGCAGGAGCGCAATGGGGAACGAATTATACTCTTAACAAAAGGGGCTGATAGTTCCGTAACCTGCCGGACCGTGGATGACGCGGCGGTTCAGGAGTATAAGCGTGGCTTGTCGCACACGCTCTCCGAGATGGCGGAATACGGACTACGTACGCTTCTTGTCGCCACGCGCGATCTCACCCCGAGGGAATTTGGGGAGTGGAACGCACGCTTTTTGGAAGCCGGAAAACTGCTTGTGGGCCGCGCTGCGGCCGTCGACAAAGTATGCGGCGAGATCGAACAGAAACTTCGACTGCTCGGTGCCACCGCTATTGAAGACAAGTTGCAAGAAGAAGTGCCTGAAACCATCTCATTCTTTCTTGACGCAGGTGTCGTGATATGGATGCTCACTGGCGACAAGCGGGAGACGGCAGTGACGATTGCCGCCACAACCTCGCTATGTGATCCAAGGAGGGACTATGTTGTGCACGTTGACGTGGGCCCAATTGACCCCAAACACCCGGAAGCGGTGGAAAAACTTGGGGCTGATTTACGTGAAGCGGAGGTACACCTAGAACGCGCAAAAAAAGAGGGTGTCCGGTGTACACTCGTGATTGATGGTGCATCTCTTAATGTGGTGATGAAGCACTACTACTCGTTGTTTCTAAAGCTTTCGATGAGTCTTAGTTCGGCTGTATGTTGTCGACTCACGCCGTTGCAGAAGGCCGAAATTGTACGCATGTTTCAAAAATCAACGGGTCAGACAGCCCTGGCCGTGGGCGATGGCGCAAATGATGTGTCCATGCTTCAAGAGGCGCGTCTCGGCATCGGTATTATTGGCCTTGAGGGGGCACAAGCAGCCCTCGCCGCGGACTACGCTATTCCCCGGTTCAGAAACCTTCGTAGACTTTGTGCTGTTCATGGGCGGTATTGTCTTGTCCGTAATGCGAGCTGCATTGTGGTGAGTTTCTACAAAAACTTCGTGTTGGCTTTCATTCAGTTTATTTTTAGCTTTTACTGTGGCTTCTCAGGGCTCACGCTCTTTGACGGCTGGCTGCTGACGTTTTACAATGTTATGATGACCAGCATTCCGCCGTTCTTCATGGGTATCTTTGACAAGGACCTCCCCTCTGCAGCGTTACTTTCTCGCCCCGGCCTTTTCACCACCCTCTCGCACGGGCTGTATTTTAACTGCTCTGTGTTCCTGCGGTGGCTCTTCGAGTCTGCGTTTCACGCATGCACCGTATTTTACGTGCTATACCCGTCAATGACGAACAACAACTTCAGCCTTCACGCGGACATTTCCGGAAGTATGGCGGGCACCATGTGCCTGTTCATGCTGGTGTCAGTCGTGCTGGGCCGCTTAGCTTTGCAGGTGCGGTATTGGCAACCTCTGCAGGGTGTGGGGATGGCTCTTTCCGCCGTCGTCGTGGTTTGTTTCCTCCTTGCGTACTCCTCCTTTACCCACATCGGCGACTCGTCGCTCTACTGGCAGGTTTTCGTTTTGATGTCTGGAGCAAAGTTTTGGCTGTATCTGTTGTTTCTGGTGGGAAGCCTTATTCTTATCATTGACTTGCCTATGCTGTGCCTCCAGAAAACAATTTGGCCCACTTTGCGCGACCGAGCAGAGCAGGAACACCTAGCGCTGCTCCGCGAGCGAAGAAACAAAGAGCCGGTGCAGCCAGTCTAAACTGTCGCGGCGGCGTAAAAGAGTTGCTTCCCTCAACTTTCCCTCCCTCAACACCAACACAAGCGAATAAAAATGTGAGCCGTTTCAGGGAGACAAGTGGCACTCGTTTGAGTGTGTATATTCAGATGTAAATGCAATTCATCATTGCAAAGGCAGACACTCACACACGCATCTGCGCATGGGTGACATGATGAATATTATTATCCTCTTCTTGACGCGGGACGGCAGGAACAGAAGCAGCACATAAACTGGACGTGGGTGGAGAATAGCGTCAATAGTAAGGCGTACGCAGACTTAAAAAGGAAGCAACAACAAGTAAATAAAGCCCACTCATTGATGTCGAGAGAGTGGAAGGACTTCTGACGGTAAGCAGAGGAAAAACAGAGGGGAGAAGAGGCAGGGGGGAGATGTGGAGAGAGCTAGGCGGCGTGGGCGGGAGTCTAGCACGGGGAATGTAACGCGCAGGAAAGGCTCAAATTGTGGCGTGCTGCAGTTTAACTG